GGACTGAATCATTTCTTAGATATGCAACCCATACATTCATACATAACAGCACAATATAGGACGATTAGAACTGCTACTGTCTGTGCGCAAAACAGGACACACATTTTTTTTCTATTTTGAATATCCAGTTATGTAAATATACAGTAGTTGAGTAAATTACTAGCAGATTTACGAATACATTTTAACAGCAACTCTTTATAGTAGGAGCTGCTCCCCCAACTTCCCTGCATAGTATAAAATGAAGAATAATATGACTATTTGAACAATTACCAGTTGTGCAATTTTAATATGTTCTATTAACTTATATAGAGACTAAAAATTATTAGACAAATTACTAATTCCAGTCTTACTCCATGACTTACAGCTTCCATTATCTGAAATTACACAAAAGTCTTCAGTGTTTTAATTAAGTATTTTGTCCAGGCATGAGGATATCGCTAATTTTTAGTGAGACTTTAAGTCTGTAACATTTACTGAAGTAAAGAGTCAATTAGTTTCAGGCTTTGCAGAACGCTTTCTGTTTGGAGAAGAGAAAAAGAAAACATGAAGACTTTCCTAAAAGACTGAAATGCAAACATTTTACATTAAGTAGAAGATAAAACAAGGGAGCCACAGAGGCTAGAAATAGGCCAAGGTTTGCTATGCTTGACCCTGTTAAGGGGTCAACTCATGCCCACCTTTTCAGGCTCAGGGCAGGTCACCTAGAGTAGGTGCAAGAGCATGGCACTCCACCCTCCACTCAGAGTGGTGAGGGACTGAGTGGATGACATATCGAAACTGGACTAGACACCGCAGTCGGGCCAAGCGGGCTGCATGCCTGCCAGGTTGAACCCACTGGTGATCTCTCCCGAGGTAGGCTAACGGTACAGGCTTACTCAGTGAAAAGCAGAGATAACATCATCTGAGGCAATACAACAGGGATGCACATGTAGAGACTGATGGAAATGCTATATTAATGTATCATTTTTACTGCAATTTTGCTTAGCACACTGAACTATGCATTTCTAATGAGGAACATTACATTAAACATTATCATGCAATGTGATAGAAATAAACCATTTATTGTATATATTTATCTATGTTTATGGCCATCTATTGTTTTCATAATGCAGCAGGCTAATTCTGGTGTACAGAGATGGTGGCTTTGGCTCATTTAATGTTGGCTCACTTTTTTTTGTTTTGGTTAAACCAAAAAGTTACATATTTTTAAATGAGCATTCTGAAAACTATATCCAAATAACTTATTAAGTTGTTTGTTTTAGGTCCATACAGCTTTTTAAAAGTGACTAAAAATGGAGAGATCTCATTTAATTTGATTTCTGGCTTCTCCTTTGAAACAAGAAGAGTTGGAAACAATGGGCCCTCTATTCCCAAAACTGACTAGGGGCAGGGCGGCAGCCACTCCCTTCGGACAGACTGCTGTCCATTCTGCCCCAGGCCTCACTGCTGCCTATTTTCACCTACCCTGAGGCCAACTGTCTTACCACTTATCATCACACTTGCATGGTTAGTTTCCTTCTAACTTCAGAATTAAGAGGAAAATATCTCTATTAAAAGTGGAAAAATGAAAGGCCTAGAGAGATTTGTGTCTCTCTGAACTGCTATGCTTCATTCATTATTAACACTATATGCACAGCTTCTGCTGCAGATGACAAATTTTCAACCCCTGGCACATAAATGCTAAAGAATGTAAAATTTGTGCACTTTTAATATGCTACCAATTCCTCCTCCCTGACTTCAACGATCCCAAATTTATAAATGTTAGGATACATCTATGAGACCATGTAACACAAAAATATTAAACCCGTACAAATGTAACTCAAAAGTCTCAGTGCTCAATGCAGGGGAAACAAATAAGCTCGTTATTCCCTCTCATTTTAGGAGCCCCAAAGTCTTCCAATCAGTTTAAATAAATTCAACAGTACTTGAGGTTGGGTAGGGAAAGAAGAAATAAGCTCCAGGCTCTTACGTCCTGCTTTCCCTGGGCTTATGTTATGATACACATAGACTATTCAACAGTCAAAACCAGCACCCAAAGGAGAGGAAAAGATGGTCAGAGTTTTCTTTAACTGGTGACTGAGGAAATCAAGGTTCTTGGGACAATGTTTATGACAGAAAAACGAATCAGCTGAATACAATACTTGGGAGTCTTACCAGGCAAATTAATTAGCCCCTCACTAGAAGAATTAGTGTAAGAATTAAGGAATTAAAATAGATGACTTAGAAAGAAAATTCATTTAAATAAATTATATTACTCAAGACAGCTAAAGAAGTTGGAAGACCTTAATTCTTTAGCAGGATTTTATTTACTCAAATCATAAATACATAAGAACTTTTTTTTTTTTTGGTCAATCCTAACCCAAGGATATTCTTTCCATTGATTTTCAGAGTGGAAGGG